GGTGGAGGGGTGGCGGGAGGGGAAGGGGAAAGGGAAGAAAGGAAAGGAAAAATTATGTGAAAGAAAAAAAAATGGAAATGAAGTCTATGTAAATATGGAAGGGTGGAGATGGTGAAGGGCACACAGGTAATGGGGAAAAAAATAAGAACTAAGATACATCATGTTCAGGTACAAACACCCAATGATAAATGTAAATGATTTGTATACCTAAAATGTACCAATTAATATATAAATAAAAAAATAGGGAGACCACACCTAATAATAATGTATTATATATTACAAGTGAAATAGATTCTGGATGTTTTTACCACAAGACATGCTGCTTCAAGTGATAGATTTGCTGCTTAGCATGCTTTGACTAATATAGATATGCATTGAAATTTCATACTATACTCCATAATTACAATTATTATATGTCAATGAATACAGAAACCCATACAAACCAATTTATCCTTGCAGCAGAAAAATTCTAAATTACTCAAAGAACTGAAAAATTTCTGTGTGAGATGACATAGAGAAAACAAGTGAGAAATTAAGAACCATAACAGAGGTAATGAAGGAGAATAGTTTTGATGCATATGTAGCTAAATTAGAAACTGCAGAGTCAACGACAATGGAGATGATTAGAAAATTAAAAGTTATTCCTTTTTAATTCAGAGTTTCATGTGTGCTGCCTTGGAATAGGTGTCATCTCTCCACATACAGAATTTATAGCTCTTCACACCTTGGATTCATCATTCTCTTACATGAAGCAATGAAGTCATTCTAATATGAATATTTTTCTCCTAATTATGGAGTATCCATTATATACTTGGCACTGTTTGGTGTATTTGATACAAATGTCAAAACAACCACATGATTTATAGCATCTCATCAATATTCATCTAAACAAACTGGCTCTGTGATTGCATTAAATTGTATAATGCTTTAATCAGAATGAAAGGAGCAGTAAAGGTAAAAATGATACAGAACTGTTCTCTTTGAGAGAGAAATAATGGAGTATACCAAATAAAATATATCTTAATATATGCAGTTACCATGGAATTACATTTTGTAATTAATTTTAGAACAAAAGCCTAACAAGAGAAATCACAAGAAATTATCTTGAAAAACCCAAAACATTTGTTTTTAAATCTACTTTTTGTGATTTTAACCAAGAGCATCTTAATATCTTAGTAAAACTCTGTTGCTTTATTTGTAATGTTTATTAGTACAACTTTGCTGTATGTAATGATTTACATTGTGAGGAATTGGCACATGTACATATTTTAATTACTTTTACTTTCCCTTACCCTCCCTTCTCCCCTCCCTCAATCTCCAATGCCCTTTCACTTTTGCAAAGGATTTATTACCCAATTCCGTAATATCTATCTTTTATTTTGCTCTGTAAATTATTTATACTTTGGGACTCTCATATAAGGGAAACCATGCAATATTTAAGCTTGTGTGTCTGATTAATTTTACTTAACATTATGGTCTCAAAGTGCATCCATTTTCCTACAAATGATGCAAATTTATCCTTTATGGCAAAATAGTACTCCATTGTGTATAAATATCTTTTTTTTTTTTTTTTGGTACCAGGGATCGAACTCAGGTCCTTGCACTTGCGCAGCAAGCGGCAAAACCACTGAGCTAAATCCCCAGCCCAAATATCATTTTCTTTATCTATTTATCTGTTCATGGACATACAGGCCACTTCCAAGATTTAGTTATTATGAATTGTGCTGCTATAAACATAGGTATGCATGTATCACTGAAATATGATGTCTTAAACTTTTTTAAGGAAGGTAGCTAGAAAGGAAATATCTAGGTCTAATAGAATTTCTATTTTTAGTTTTTTGAGTAGTCTCCATACTGATTTCCATAATTCTTTTGTGTACTAGTTTACATTCCCACCTACTAGTAAGGTAGGAGGGTTCTTTTTACCCTGGCACCTTGCTGGCATTTGTCATTGAGTTCTTGATGATGGGTATTCTTTCTGGGGTAAGATGGAATCTCAATGTTGTTTTAATTTGTGTTTCTCAATGGCCAGAGATGCTGACCATTTTTGTGTATTTATTGGACATTTTTATTTCTTGAAACTCTGTAGCTAAAAACAAGAATTAATTGTGATGGTTCATGTAAGTGTGGGTTTGGGTAGGGGCCTAGGGTGGTCCTTCTTGAGGTATGTCTAATCCTCCACTTGAACTTGGGAGGTTAATCACAAAGTTAATTGTGGCATGCTCTTCTGGTGACAACAGAGGTGCAGAAAGCTATGGTAAAAGAATTTCTACCGCATTATTAACTTTTTATACTGTTATACATTTTTATTTTATAAAATATTTACTGAGTGCCGTGTCCGTGCTAGTCTATGTTATACCATTTAACAAGATAGACAAGGTATTTCTCCGAAGGATTTTTTTTTTTGGACCAGGGATCGAACTCGGGACCTTGTGCTTGCGAGACAGGCGCCAGAATCACTGAGCTAAATCCCTGGCCCTCTCCTAAGGATTTAACATTCTAGTTGAGAAAGATATAATCAGTAAACAAATTTTAAAAATCAGAACTCTAAAGTTAAATGCTCTAAAGACAGGTAGATGAAATATATAATGATGGAGCTCTACAACAGATAGAAGGGTAAGAAAAGACTATTTCTTGCGATCTTTGTCCTTCTTTATATTGGTGCATGCCTGAGTCTGCAGTGTTTCACACACAGCCTTTGTTTTAGAAAAATCTGTCATTTCTTCTTCCAGTTGTCTTTTCTCTTCTTCAAGCTTCATAATCTCCTCTTGTTGAATACTTTTAAGATGTTCAAACTTGTCCTGCAGCTATTAAAAAAATCTGTAGTTATGGCCCAAAATACAATGAGGCAGAAAACATGAAAGAACACCTTTTTTTCTTGATTTCAAACAAACTAAAAATTGCTAATTAAATACTCAGATATGAATTTTCTTGATTTGAAAATTGAATGTCTTCTCATTGAACCAAACATAGTAAAACACATTTTCATAAAATTTCCCTTTTTCCTGAGGTCAGTTTTCTCATTCAACATTTTCCCCACAACTTCCCTTTGAACAAAGTTTGATAAATCCATGACCATTAAAATGCATACATTGGAGGCAAGCAAGATGGCTGAATGGGGTGTCCAGCATTTACCTGTTCTCCCACAAAGAAGAACAGAAGCAACAGGTATGTAGCTGCACAGTGGTGTAAGTGAACATGGAAGAACACTGGAATTGAAAAGGAGGGTAATGGAGACCTTGTAAAACTCCAGAGACCTGGAACGGCAGCATAGCAAGAGAAGCAAAACATCTCATTACTTGCCAACCTGGCTCCACAGCTGGGGAAGAGGTAGTTTCTCCTCTTCAGGGCTAAAAGTGAAAGAGCCTCAGCAAAGCCTGTCAGCACAGGTACTGGCAATCCTCCTGATTGGAAAGTTGCACTGGCCTTGCAGGTTTGTACCCTAAATAGAAAACAGGCCTGAAATATGCATAGTAGTCTGATTGTGGAATAGGAGTTCACTTCATCCGTCCCCCATCAGGCTGTAGTGAGAGCCACCTTGAGAAGGGACCTATTTTCTGAATTTAGAGCCTTTAGAGGTAGAAAGGCCTGTATATTCCCCTCTCTGGGACCCAGCAGGCATTCCACTGCACTGGCTCAGCCGGTGGCTCCACGTGAACCAGTTTTGGCTCAGTGGAAGGACTGTGAAGTAGACAAGCTGAAAATGCTACTAGTGGGGAGTGGGTGTTGCAGTGTGAACGGGAACAGAGGGTGCCATCCACGAGAACTGTGATTTCAAAGAGCCTGACCTCTGAGACCAGGGATGTGGCCAGTTGCATGTGGTTTCACGTGGGTGCCAGGGTTGAGGGCTGTTGCCCATGCAGTTCCCAGCACTCCTCTCCCAGTGCCATGCACAGGGTCTGTCACTAGCACGACAGGAAAGGAACTCTTATTTTCCACTGCTGTCCTAACCCACAGAAGCATGCTGGGGCAGATCTGACTCCACTCGCCTTCCTGTGAGCACCTCAGGAGAGAGAAATTTTACCTAGATCCAGCCACAGTCCACCCATGTTTTATCCCTAATGAGCATTACAACAGAACTTCCACTCAACTCTAGGCATGCACAGTGAGGAAGGTCCTGAGGTGCTGCTCCTGGACAGGTACATACACAACTTTTCCTGCCAGCACATTGATGTGAGTCCACTGTATCAGTCACACCCATACCTTGACTGAAAACATGCTATTGATAAGGTTTTCAGTTTCACATAATGAAAACAGTTATTCCAGCCCCAACCTCTCCCCTGAAGCACCAGTACCTGCACCAGTGCCTAATCAAGGCACAAGTGCTTCAGGTTCCTCATAACTACAGGAGCAGCCAATACTAGAGTCCCATTCAAGTAAGAGAGCCAGTATCAACAGTGCCAGAAGAAATCCCTGACACCCAATAGGGGCCACAACTCCCATGGTAGGAGTAACCACACAGGATACATATTCTTTTTTTTTGGTACCGGGGATCGAACTCAGGACCTTGTGCTTGCGAGGCAGGCACCGGAACCACTGAGCTAAATCCCCGGCCCTAAAGGATACATGTTCTGCTCTCTACCCCACATCTCTCTCACTTCCTTGGTTAAGTTAATTCCTAAGTATTTAATTTTTCTTGGTGCTATTTTGAATAGTATGTACTAGTTTCTTTCTCAGTAGGTTCATTTTTAGTGTACAGAAATGCTGTTGATTTTTTGTGTTAATTTTGTATCCTGCTACATTACTGAATTTGGTTATTAATTCTGAGAATATTTTGGTGGATTTTGGGGGATCTTCTCCATGGAGAATCATGTCATCTGCAAATAATGGTAATCTGACATCTTTCTTTCCCATATATATCCCTAGTTTTTTTTCTTGCCTAATTTCTCTTACTAATGTTTCCACTATTATGTTGAACAGAAGTGGAGATAGGGGACATCCTTGTCTTATTCCTGATTTTAGAGGGAAAGCTTTCAGTTTTTCCTATTTAATATGATTTTGGCAGTAGGTTTTGTGATAAATCTTTATCAAATTGAGATAAGGTCCTTCTGTACCTATTTTTTTCAGTGTTTTTATGAAAGGATGTTGGATTTTGTCAAAGTTTTTCTCTGCATCTATTGAGATCATGTGATTTTTGTCCTTACTTTTGTTTATATGATGTACTACATTTATCAATTAGCATATATTGAACCATCCTTGTATTCTTGGGATGGAGCCTACTTGGTCATGATGATTCACTGCATTCTGTTTGCCAGTATTTTGTTGAGGATTTTTGCATCTATATTCATTAAAGAGATTGGTCTATAGTTATCTTTTTGAGGGGGGGGTACTGGGGATTGAACTTGGGCCCTTGGGCTTGCGAGGCAGGTGGTGGCACCACTGAGCTACATCCCTGGCCCCTATAGTTATCTTTTTTGATTGGATCCTTGTTGGATTTTGGAATAAGGGTAATGCTAACTTCCAGGAATGGCTTTGGGAATACTCCTTCCAATTTCATTAAAAAGCTTGAGGAGTATTGGTGTTAGAACTTCTCTGAAGTTTATGTAGATTTAAGTATTGAACCCTTCTGGACCTGGGCTTTTCTTATTTGGTAGGTTATTTATTACTGCTTCAATTTTTTTTTGCTTAAATTCTTTTTTTTGATACATTTTAGGTATACAATACATTTACATTTATCTTTGGGTGCTTGTACCTGTACATGATGTATCTTGGTTCTTATTTTTTCCCCATTACCTGTGCACCCTTCACCCCTCCACCCTTCCCTATTTATGTACATCGTTTCCATTTTTTTTTTCTTTTCTCATAATTTTTCCTTTCCATTCTTTCCTTTCCCCATCTCCTCCCACCACCCCTACCCCTTTGGACCTTTTCCTATTTTGAAGTATCAATTATTAGTTATTAATCCTTTTAGTCCTTATTTACACTCTCAGTTTCTCACAATAGAGAAACTATTCGGTATTTACACATGTGTGTCCTATTTATTTCACCTAAGAGTGTGGCCTCAATATGCATCCATTTAGCTATAAATGACTCCAGTTTCTCCTTCTTTATGGCTGAGTAGTACTCCATTTTATAAAAAAACCCCACATCTTCTTTATCCAGTTTCCAGTTAATGGGCTCTTGGGCTGTTTCCAAGCTTTAGCTATTACATACTGTGCCGCAATAAACATGGGTACACATATATCTCTGTGGTATGATTCTTTTAATTCTTTTGGGAAAATACCCAGCAGGGGATACTGCTTCAATTTAATTGCCTGTTATTGGATTATTCATGGTCCTTAAATCTTCTTGGTTCAATTTTGCTAACTCATATGTATCTAGAAATCTATCCATTTGTTCTGAATTCTCCAGTTTACTGGTGTACAGGATTTGTGAAGTAGTTGTTAATAATGTTTTTTATTTCAGCAGTGTCCACTGTGATTTTACCTTTTTCATTTCTTTTTTTCTTTTGGTACTGGGGATCAAACTCGGGACCTTGCACTTGCGAGGCAGGTGACGGAACCACTGAGCCAAATTCCTGGCCCACCTTTTTCATTTCTAATTGTATTGGTTTGGGCCTTTTCTCTTTTTCTTTTGGTTAGATTGGCTATATGTCTATTTTGTTTATTCTTTGGAAAAACCAACTCTTTGATTCTTAGAACTTTGTATTTTATGTTTTGGTTTTAATTTTATTGATTTCTTCTCTGATCTTTATGATTTCTATCCTTGTACTAGTCTTAGATTTGGATTGTTTTTGTTTATCTAGGGTCTTGTTATTTATTTGGGTTATTTATATGGATTCATTTTGTTTTTGTGATGTGGGCATTCACACCTATAAACTCTCCTCTTAGGACTGCTGTCATTGTCCCATAAGTTCTGGTATGTTGTACTGGTATTATCATTTAATTCTAGAAACTCTCTTATTTCTTCCATAACCCACTGTTTAGTTAAGAATGTATTGTTTAGTTTCCATACATTTGCATAATTTCTGTGGAGTTTTCTGGTATTGGTATCTAATTTCATTGTGCTATGATCTCACAATATGCACCGTATAATTCCAACTCTTTTACATTTACTTAAGCTTGCTTTATTGGCTAGTGTGTGGTCTATTTTGGAGAAAGTTCCATGTGCTGCTGAAAAGAATGTGTATTCTATTGTTGTTGGGTGGAACTCTCTGTCTATATCTATTAAGTCTGTTTGAAGGTTTTGTTTAACTCTGATATTTCTTTGTTGATTTTATGTCTAGTTGATCTGTCTATTCATGACAGTGGGGTATTGAGGTCCCCCACTGTAATTGTGTTTGTTTTGGGGGGTTTTTTTGTTTGTTTGTTTTGGTTTTTTTTTTTTTTTGGTACCAGGGATGAACTCGGGTCCTTGCGCTTGCAAGGCAAGCAACAGAACCACTGAGCTAAATCCCCGGCCCAGTAATTGTGTTTATCTGATCTTTTATGTTTGGTAGTACTTATTTTATGAAGTTGGGTGTGCCATTGTTTGGCGTGTATATGTTAATGATTATCTCTTCCTGTAGGATTGTTCTCTTACCCAATATGTTGTGACCTTCTTTGCCTCTTTTGATCAGTTTTGGCTTGAAATCCATTGTCTGAATATAAGATAGCTATGTATTTGGGTTTTTTGGGGGGGTTTTCTATTGCATGGAATATTGTTTTTTATCCTTTGGTTTTTATTCTGTGAGTTTCTTTTATGTTTTTTTTGGGGGGGGTGGTACTGGGGATGGAACTCGGGTCCTTGCACTTGCGAGGCAAGTGGAGGAACCACTGAGCTAAATCCCTGGCCCTCTGTGAGTTTCTTTTTGGATTAAATATGTTTCTTGTTTCGTGGTGGCACATGCCTATAATCTCAGCACTTGGGAGGCTGAGGCAGGAGGATTACCACCAGTTCAAGGCTCACCTGGGCTGCATAGTGAGTCCAAGACCACCCTAAACTACATAATGAGACCCTGTCTCCCAAAAAATGTGTTTCTTTTATGCAGCATACCATTGGATTTTGTTTCTTGATCCTTTCTGCCAGTCTGTGTCTTTTGATTGGGGAACTAAGACCATTCACATTGAGAGTTATTACTGATAGTTATTGACTTATTCCTGTCATTGCCTTATTTTCCTGTTGCTAATTCCCTGCCTTTACCTTCTATTTACCTGCTCACCCTACCTGGCATATTAATTCTATTAGACCTTTTGTCATTGACAGATTCTTTGTCTTGTTCTAGGGTACCCTTGAGAACTTTTTTGGACCTCTGGTTTGGTTGTCATGAATTTCTTTAGGTGCACTTTACAATGAAAGAATCTTAATTCTCCATCAATTTTGAGAGGATATGTCAGCCTGAGTTGGAAATTATTTTCATTTAGGGCTTGAAACACTTCACTCTAAGCTCTCTTGGCATGTAAGGTTTGTGTTGAGAAGTCTGCTGTAATTCTAATGGATTTTCCTTTATAAGTGATTCATTGCTTTTCTCTAACCACTTTTAAGATTCTGTTCTTGTGTGGAGCTTCCTGGATTTTGATTATGATGTGTTGTGGAAAGGTTCTTTTCTGATAATGGCTAATTTGGAGTTCTATATGCCTCACTTATCTGTATGTTAAATTCTTTTACCTTATTTGTAAACTATTTTGCTATTATTTCAAAGAACACGTTTTTTATGCCATTGATTTTTCACTAATTCCAGTTTGTCTTAGATTAGTCTTCTTTGCAGCATCTAGAAGTTGTTGGATTCATTTTTCATGTTTTCTTGTTGTTTTTAAGGTATCTTTCTTTAATTGGTCACCAACACGCCCCTGTCTTCTAGTTCTGACACTTTCTCACATTAATCTCTTGAATTTCCATTTGGAGCATTTTTGTCGACTAGTTCTTTTCTATGCTGTTTTGGATCATTTTGCTTAGCTCCTCTCTGTCTTTTTGTTAGTTTCTTCTATAGATTCACTGATAATTGTATTTATTTGGCCAAGAATCTTTCAAAGCATGTTTTTGGGAGAGAATGCTGATATGGACAAACAGCTATTTACTAAATAAATTAATATCTGTAGAAAGATGACAGGATCTATTCATCAAGAGAATGGAAGAATGATCCTGAAGGTATCAGAGATGATACCTTGAATATTAGAGATATTCAAGGCAAGCTAGGACACCAAAGACAAAGTTTCTAGAGTGAGAGAGAGAAGTTCTCTAGGGATCTCAGCATTTGCTGTTCTTCCCCCCTTCAGGACTCAGCTCCATGAAATATAGTTCAGTGCCTCTTTGTAACCCTCATCATTATTCAGGTGAGCCCAACTGTTTCTCAACCTGATGATTTGGAAAGTACAAGTCATAAATCTTGGTAGCATCCATGGTGCTAATTCTGCTGGCATGCACATTGTAAAAGCTGTGGGGCTATGAATTCTTCACGTAGATTTCAGAGAATATTATGAATGGTCTGAGACCCAGATAGATACTTCTCACAGGAGCATAGCCACTGCAGAGAGTACGCATTAGTGGGGCTTTGTAATTGAAGCCACTACAAAGAGTCCTCAACAGGACAATGCCTAGTGGAGCCATGGGCATGAGGCGATGCCCAAGACTGCAGGACTGTAGAGTTCCCAGCATGCAGCTCAAACCTGGGAAAGCTGCAGACATCAGATCCCAACTTGTGAGAGCTGCTGGTGAACTGAGTCCAGCAAAACCATGGGGATGTGCTGACAAAAGCCTTAAGTGTGCAGCCCCTTGCTCCAGTATGTCAGGGATGCAGAACATTTAAGTAGAAAATCAGAAAAAACTCTGGATAAACTAAAATTACAAGGTATAAGTTTATAAAGGCCACATTCAGATTTTGCATAGTAAATTGCTACCTTTTAAAGAACAGCAAATTTCATCTAAAAACATCAACTAATCTCGAGATTACTCCCAGTAGGACACCTAAAAAAGAATACAAATTGTCATCAAACTGGCAATACTTGCCTCTTTTTCAGCATCTTTAAATGCTATTTCTCTATCCTTTACTTGCTGCATAAACCTCTTTTTCAACTCTTCTTCCTCCCTCTGACATTGATCATAGAACTCTAGTCTTTTGGCTTCATATATCTCTTGAAAACTAAAAAAAAAAAAATTTCCATCCTCATATCAAAATAGATATACATGAACATGTATTTCATTATCATGAGATATACAAATTACAACACAATATTAATATAAAGTAAATGTAGAACATAAATAAAAACACTAGAAATTTGAAACACTTGTATCAGTGATTTCTCGTACCTCTGCTTTACATTATATCATACTTTTTCACAGCTTTTGACAATAAAATTTGAGGAAAACTCCAATGTCTGACAGTGTTTCCAAAATAGTTCAAATAAAGCAAAGCATAATTTAATTATTCACTTAAGTGGTTCAATTATGGTTGTCTTCAACAAACCATAATCAATATAACTGAATTATACTACTATGGTAATATACCTAATTTTGCAGTACAAATACTATTCTTCAATATATCTAAAAGCATCTGCTGTCAAAATTTCTTCACATGACTTACAGCAGAGTATATTACAAATTTTCGACTCTTTCCTCCATCAAACTCTTCTCAGTATCTTTTGACAATTTTTCTCAGTCTTTGCTAATACTGGACAATTTCATCCCTGAGCATCTGCTTTGCATAAACACAGAAATTCAAGTAAAAGAATATTTTTGGATATACATTTCAATGTATCACATAAAGATGCCCTTTCACTTTTACTCCTACTTTTTCCATCGAGGTCTGAAGATGATTACAAAACCTATAATTCAGGATGGCCCAAGATGAAAGAAGTACACTTTTTCTCATTGCCAAATGATTGTACCTTGTAGTTTTAGGAGCCTTCTAAATGACCTATTTAGCTGTGATAGCAGTTTCTTTACTCACCTAATAGGCTGGTTGTCTGGGCCCACATCAGTGAAGCCCATTCTCTGCAGTTTTCTGTGCCTGTAACATTCATAGAGATGAATGTGGGTTTGTTCCTTCAGGTCTTCCATATTCATACAAAGAAGCATATCCTGGAGCTTCACGAAGTCACAGTGATTTTCATTTTCCACTAGTTAAAAAAAATAATAAACCCAAAATACTTTGAATTGTTGGCAGTCAATAAGCATTTCTAAATAAATGCATGGATGAAATGCATTTAAAATAATAAACAAGAAATCAACCTGAGTAACAGCTATAATTCTTTGAATTATGTGACAGTTATTCTGTTTTGGGTTTTTTTGTTTGTTTTGGGTTTTTTTTTTGGTACCAGGGATTGAACTCGGGTCCCTGTGCTTGTGAGGCAGGAGGCAGAAACTGAGCTAAATCCCCGGCCCATATGCTGTATTATTAATGTAGGCATGTTTAAGGTCAGGAAATTGCTTTAAATTTATTACATAAGAATAAATAGAAAATAGCAAAATAGCTGGGTGTCATGGTGGATCCCTGTAATCCCAGCACTCTAGAGGCTGAGGCAGAAGGATTGCTGGAAGTTTGAGGCCAGACTGGACTACATAATGAGTTCAAGGCCAGCCTGAATTACATAGTGAGACCCTGTCTCAAAAACATAAAACCAAAGAAAGAAAGAAAGAAAGAAATAACAGGGCCCAGGGATTTAGCTTAGTGGTTCTGCTGCCTGCCTTGCAAGCGCAAGGACCGAGTTTGATCCCCAGTACCAAAAAAACAAAACAAGACAAAAAGAAATAACAAAATAATAAGTTCTGTTAAATATAGGCTTTCATAAATAATTGTATTAGTATTTTACAAGTTACTTTTAAAGTATTTCACAGCTGACAGGCTATGTAATATAATTTCACTAATGTAAATTCTTCTAACTGAAAGACCTTTAAATTTTGAAGGGGTCTTGATCAAATTCCATTTATACACCACATTTATGAGACTGTATTAATATACAAAAATCAATGAATAAATTCACATGACTGTATATGTAATTTATTTTGAAATGATACATAAAACTATAAAATTTGTCCATATTAATGAAGTGCCATGTAATGTCTGATACATATATACACTGTACAATGTTTAAAGATTAAACATTTGTATCTTGAAACATTTCTTCATGGTGTAAAGTTTCAAAATCCTTTCTAGCTTTTTCAAATGTACAGTGCATTATTGTTGTCTATAGTCACCATGCTCTGCAACAGCACACATTGGGTTTTTGGTTCTACTAAATGCAAATTAGTACTCAATGATCAAACTTTTCAAATCATCCCAAATGAACACAGCCTCTGCTAACCACCAGTCTTCTCTTCTATAAGATCAATATTTTTAATTTCTACATATAAGTGAAATCATGCAGTCATATCTGTCCCAGAATTGTTACACTTAGCCTAATGAACTGGAGTTCTATCCATGATGTTACAAATGTCAGGATTCCATTTTTATGGCCAAAGAATGTCTCATGATGTATATGTATTGCATTTTCTTTATTCATTAGTTAGCTGAGGGACACTTCAGTTGTTCCATTGCTTAGAAATTGCCAGTAGTGCTGCAGTGAACATGGGAGTGCAGATGTCTGATTCTCTTCATCCAAAGTACCAAGTAATGTGATTGCTGGTTCATTTGGCAGTTCTCTTTTCAATTCTCTGAGGAACCTTCATACCGTTTTCCATGATTGCTGTAGTAATTTACATTTCCACCAAAAGTGTGCAAGTGTTCCCTTTTCTCTGAATCCTTACCAGTATTTATTATCTTTAGTTTTTTGGCTAATACTTATTCTTCCTGGGGTGAGGTAATAGCTCATTGCAGTTTCACTTGGGATTTCCCTGATAATTGTGTTGTGCATTTTTTTCATTTACCTGTTGGCCATGTGTATGTGTTTTTTTCAGAAATATCTATTTAGGTATATTGCTTTTTTATTAGTGCACATAAATTATACTGAATATTAGGCTTCATTGTGTCATCTAACATATTTTAATCTTATATTTCCCCCACATTAACTTTTCTTATTTTTCCCTCTGCATTCACCAATCCATGTCCTCTTCTCTAATAGTCTTCCTTCTACTGTCATGTCATCTCTTTTTTTCTTCCTAGAGTTCACATATGAGGGAAACATGAAATATTTCTGAGTCTAACTTATTTTGCTTAACATGATAATCCCCAATTGTATCCATTTTTCTCTTTCTTTATTCCTTTTTTTTTTGAGACAGGATCTTGCTGGGGATTTAGCTCAGTGGTTCCACCGCCTGCCTCGCAAGCTAAGGACCCAAGTTTGATCCCTGGTACCAAAAAAACCCCAACATTCATGAGACAGGGTCTCACTATGCAGTTCAGGCTGGCCTTGAACTCACTCTGTAGCCCAGCCTGGCCTTGCATTCATGGTGATCCTCCTGCCTCAGTTTCCCAATTGCTGGGATTACAGGTGTGTGCCATCACACCTGGTTCTACCCATTTTTCTTAAATAACATGATTTCATTATTTCATGACTAAATAATAATCCATTGTGTACATATAGCACATTTTCTTTATTCATACATCCACTAACAGGAACCCAGATTCCTTTTATAACTTGGCTATTGTGAACTGTGCCACAATAAACATGGGTACACAGATAACTGTATGGTATGCTGATTTTATTTCTAAAATATACTAAGGAGTGTTATAACTAGATCACACTATTTCTATTTTTAGGTTTTTAAGGAACCTCCATACTTATTTCAGTAGTGCCAGCATTTATTATTTCTTGTGTTCTTTTTAAAAAAAATTTTTTTGTTTTTGGTACTGGGGATTGAACTCGGGTCCTTGCGCTTTTGAGGCAGGTGGCGGAACCACTGAGCTAAATCCCTGGCCCTAGTTCTTGTGTTCTTTCATGGTAGTTATTCTGATTAGGGACAGATGAAATCAAGGGTGGCAGATTAACCTGATGGAGGAAATTTCATGGCAGCCCAATGCTGAAGCTGTGGCTTTGCTACTGTTGGGTTTTAGCCATCTCTAAATCGAGAACCAAGAGCAAATGACACAACTGAGTGATTTTTCTAAAGTTTTGAGTTTCACCAGAAAGGAAGCTCACAATAGCTAAGATATGGAATAAACCTAGGTATCCTAAACATAAACAGAAAATGTAATATATATGCATATATATGTATACATTGTAAGTATATATAAATGTCACATACCCACAATAGAATATTATTTATCCATAAAGAATGAAATCTTGTCATTTTGTAGCAAAATGTTAAATGAAATAAGCCAGACACAGAAAGATTTTATTGGACAATATCACTCATACATCAGGGTTTTAAAAATGTTGACCTGGAGGTAGAATAGTGATTACACAATGCTGGGAAGTAAGGGCAGCTGGAGAAAGGGAGCTTGAATAATGGGTACCAAAATACAGCTAGATGGGTGAAGTAAGTTCTAGTGATGACTACACTTCACTGTAACCAACTACATGTTTCATAACAATCTAGCAGAGAAGAGATCAAAGGCTCCAAACGTGAAGAAATGATGAGAGTGAAATGTGAATTACCTTGATTTGATCAGTGCACTCTGTATCCATTTCTTGAACTATCACACTAAATTTCATTATATGTACAATGAATACATGTTAGTCAAAAAGAAAATATATAAAAATCAACTATTGGCTAGGGATGTAGCTCAGTGGTGCCGTGCCTGCCTGGCAAGTGCAAGGTCCTGAGTTTGATCCCCAGTACCAAAAAAATCAATTATTAAATAAATGTTTAAAGAATGGGACTGGGGGTTTAGCTCAGTGGTTTCACCGCCTGCTGCGCAAGCACAAAGACCCAAGTTCGATCCCTGGTACCCCCAAAAAATAAATAAAATAAAGAATGCACATAACTCTTCTATGTTTATCATGTCTAAAAATACTGATCATAATATACTGTTTATTTGTATGATATTTTAGCCAAAATTTATATATAATACAGGTACATAAAAATATTATATAATGTATACAATATAATATATAAAACATTAAGGGTTTTTTTTGAGTCAGGGTCTCCCTTTGTAGTTCAGGCTGGCCCTGAACTCACTATGTAGCTCAGGCTGGCCTTCACCTCGCGGCAGTCCTCCTGCCTCAGCCTCCCGAGTGCTGGGATTACAGGCATGTGCCAAAAACATTAAGTTTTTAACTGTGCTTCATAATTAAAATGTTTCAAATATGTCAATTTGTTCATTTTTTCAGGTTTTTTATTAGTCCATATTTGCAGTACATCATGATTGGATTCCTCATGGGGAGTTGGTACATATACTTAACACATCTGAACTCCTTTCTCATCTCCCTCCCCTCTCCTCTCCTCCCACCCACCTCACTCCATCTCTTGGTTCCCTTCCTTTTTGCAAAAGATTTGTCTCATATCCTATTATCTATCTTTTATTTTGTTCTTTATTTATATTTTAGGTTTCTCATGTAAGAATAATCGTGATATTTCAGCTGGTGTTCTGACTTATTTCACTTAACATTATGGCTCAAGGTGCATCCATTTGCCTACAAATGACACAAGTTTATCCCTCTTTATGACAGAGTAGTGCTCCATCATATATAAATACCACATTTTTTATCCATTTATCTGTTGATGGACATATAGGCCGCTTCTAAGATTTAGCTGTTGTGAATTGTGCTGCTCTTAACACATGTATGCATGAATCACTGTAATATGATGTCTTTAATTCTTTTGGGAAGCTATCTAGAAAGGGAATAGTTGGGTCAAACAGAATTTCTACTTTTAGTCTTTTGAGGAATTTCCATACTGATTTCCATAGAAGTTTACACTCCTACCACAATGTAGGAGGGCTCCTTTTTCCCTGCAGCCTTGCCAGAATTTGTTATTATTTGATTTCTTGATGATGGCTGTTCTTTTCTGGAATAAGATAGAATCTCAGTATTGTTTTCATTTTCATTTTTCTAGTGGTCAAAGATGCTGAACCTTTTTTCATATATTTATCAGCCACTTGTACTTCTTCTGAGAAGTGTCTGTTTATTTTACTTGCCCACTTTTTGATTGGGTCTTTTATTTGGGGGATCTATTTTTTTGAGTTTTTTATAAAGTCTAGGTACCAGTCCTCTGAGGAATTGCTGGCAAAATTTTTTTCCCATTCCGTAGGTTGTCTTTTCACTCTGTTGGTTGTTTCCCTTGCTGTGCTGAAGCTTTTTAATTTGATATGATCCCATTTGCTGATTATTGGTGTTTCAATTAAAAAAACATTTAGAAACTAATATAGGTAGAAATATTTCATTTCTCAATAATTTTTACTACAAGCACATAAACAAAACAATAAATCACCACACATTACAATATTCTAACTTGCCATAGTGTTAAGTAACTAATATAAATGTCAAAGGTATAATATAGCCAAAGGTCAGTTGTACTTCGTTTTGAAAAATAGTTTATCATTTTTTTACTGACCACTTAAAATGCTTTATAAATTAGATGGTGGTTTAGGTAACACATTTAAACACTAGTATTTATGCTGTGGTTTTGTTCAAGGCATTCTGCATGTCATGGTTCCTGGGCAGAGATAATATGCATATGGCACATCAGGTAAACAAGGAAGTCCTGCTTGGCTTCTGCATATTTTAGCCTAAAGCAGTGTCCCACAAATTTCTGTGAGGCTGAATCAAAGTCAAAGGAAGCATGATCTTAAAAGAAATAGAACTTTTGTTCTTCATTAGTAACTATTAATTTACAGATTGGACAAGAGTTGCCAATACTGGCGGAAGTTAAAATGCTCCTTTGAGACAGTAGATGATATAGATTATCTGACTTAATCATCCAAGAATCTGCTTGGTTCATATTTACCTTGCAAAACTCCCCAAGGGTAGTGGCGGCCTCTGACCATCCTTTTTCCCACTTTCACCTCATCTGTGCTCCCTACCACAGCAAAAGGTAACATTCCCTAGAAAATGAGAACGACATAAATATTCGTTTCCTCATAGCAATCAAGTTACTGTATCACTCATATGTTAGGGAAATGGGAGAGGTGGTAATATCATAATGAACTTATCCAACACAACATAGCTACCCTGCATCAGCTTTTAATACTTAGAAGAAAATATGTGGTAAATGACTTTTGCAAGCATTAGTCTCATGCTGTGTGCAAATTGAAAACTATCCAGTATTGCCTAAAGCAAGGCATTTCATTGTGTGCAATACGAAGGAAAAAAGTTTTTAGTGGATATATAATTTTTTTCAAACTATTTTTAACCTGGAACAGAGGCACTGCTGAGGAGACAATATGCAAACCACATTTAAAGCTGATATAGAAGCTGTAAGACAAATGTGTTAAAATAACTGAAATAATAATGATTCATTAACTGATACACACATATTAATAAAAAGCATATATAGCCCAATGAAGTATAAATATTGTTTAGAGCACAAGGGGGTACTTGTGATTTAAGGGTTGGAGGGATTCTGAAAAATAAAGTGCAACCCAAAGGATAGCTCTGAGGATGATAAGCAAAATAGGGAGAGCAACCAAAGGTAAGAAGGTTTTGGACTATATGCAAAGGCAGGAATAGTCAAGGTAGACTCGTGGTCTATCAGAAGTTATAATGTGCCCCAGTGGTGGAAAAGTGACTAATACGATGTATATGAATAGGAATTTTGACATAATGGAATATCTAAGGTTAAAATGATTAAGAATTGTGTTAAGTACTTAATATTTAACTATTAGTTGGCCATCTTGAAAAATTACATCATAAAAAGACTTCCTATAAGCTCCAAGCTCAAGCTTACTTCTTGAGCTCCAAGAGGTAATTTTCAACACATAATATAAAGGGGGCCACAATTTTCAAGACATGGTAACTAAGACAATCAGTAACAAGAAAAACTTTGGAAAGTAAACAAATTACTTTTGAACAACGAACAGGCCAAACAATAAATCTAGAAGGGAATTTTAAAATTTCTTGAAACAAATGAAAATGGAGACAAAATGTCCCCAACCCTATGTGATATGGCAAAAGCAGTACTAAGAAGAGCAAATAAAAGCAGGCAATAGCCACATCAAACAGTAAAAACATCTCAGGTAACCTATCACTGTACTTCAAGGAACTAGATAAAGAACAAACTAAACCCAAAATTAATAGAATGACAGAATTAATGGAAATCAGAATATAAGTAAATGGAGTCTAAAAATCAAAAGGTCAGTGAAAGAAAGACCAGGTTCAAAAAAAAAAATAGAAAGACCAGGTTCTTTGAAACAAAAATCAAAATAAACAACCACCTAGACAGACTAAGAAAAAGGAGAGAGAATCAAATAAATAAACCAGATATAAAAAGGGAGAGATTATAACTGGTATCACAAACACAAAAGATCACTAGAGATTGTGAAGAACTAATGGATAAATTTGTAAACAATATACCTCACTAATATTGAATCATGAAAAAGTAGAAAACATAAAGAGACCAGGAAAAGTAACACTATTGAATCAGATATAAAAAGCCTCTAATCAAAAATAAAACCAAGACAAGGTGATTTCACTACCAAATTCTAAACATCTCTAGGAGCACTAATTTCATTTTTCCATATATTGTCGAAAAAATAGAAGAGGAAGGAATTTTTTCCAAAGGCATTCTACAAGGCCAACATTACCTCAACACCAAAACCAGTTGTGGCTTGTATCTAGATGTACCCCACCCCCAAGCCTCAGGTACTCATACGACGCTTTTCAGAGTGGGCTGAATCTAGGGCATGTGGGTCTGGTATTAAAGGTGTGTGGTACTAAATTTGTCCACTGATTGTAATTAGCATAGTTCTGGGTGTGGCTGAATGGATTTACTGAGGACAGAGCGCCCCCCCCATCCCCTGTGGGTCGCACCACCCAAAATGCTTATAGTTTGGATGGGATAAAAGAGAAAGGCAATGGGCGGGGGTGGGCGGGTGGTTAGCTCGGTGGCTCCACCGCCTGCCTGCCTCTCACGCGCAAGGTCCCTCGTTCCATCTCTGGTACCATAAATAAATAAATAAATAAATAAATAAATAAATAAATAAATAAATAAATGAGAAAGGCAAGCTTGCTTCACTGCTTGCCACTTGCTGCCTCCTGCCTGCTCTGCCATGTCCTGTTTTGCCTCTGTGATGCCCCTGCCATGCTGCCCTGCCTTGGAGCTAGCAGACTATGGACTGAAACCTCTACACATTGTGAGCCAAAAAGAAACCTTTCCATCTTGAACTTTTAGGTGTCAAATATTTTGTCTCTGCAATGCAGAAAGTAACTAAGACATCCTTGATGAAGATAGACCCAGAAATCCTCAACAAAATACCACTAAACAATTCAAAAGCACAGTAGCAATAGTATTCACCATGACCAAGTGGGATTCATCCCAGGAATGCAAGGACAGTTCAACATACACAAATCAATGACCATTATACAATGTATCAACAGAATAAAGAGGAAAAACCCCATTCAGTCCTCTCAATTGATACAGAAAAGACATTTCAAAAAATTCAATTTCCCTCCTTGACAAAAATGATTAATAAATTAGGCATGTGAGGAACAAACCTCAACATCATAGTGGCCATTTATCATAACCCAACACATAATATTACATTAAATGGGAAAAACTGAAAGTTTTCTAAGATCTAGAATAAGACAAGGATGATCATTTTCACCACTTTTATTCGACATAGTTCTGGAAGTCTGGGCAATTATGCTGCAGAAAGGAATAAGGGACATTCAAACTAGAAAAGAAGTAATCAAATAGTAATTATTTGCAGATGACATAACTTTCTCTATTGAAAACCCCACAGACTCCACAAAAATCTATTGAAACTTAAGAAATTCAGCAAATTTGTAAGATATAAACTCATACAAAAATCAATAGTGTTGTTATACCCCAACAGTGAATTATCTGAATTAGAAATCAAGTAGAACAATCCCATTTACAATAGCTACAAAAAACTAAAAATCAATTTTACAAAAGACAAGAAACATTTCTACAATGAAAATTATAAAACACTAACAAAATTAAAGAGGACACAAGAAATTGGAAAAATGTTCTGTGTTCCTGGATTGGAAGAATCAATAGGTAAAATTCTGTACCATCCAATGCAATTTGCAGATTAATTGCAATCCCTATTAAAATACCAGTAGCACTCTTCACAGAACTTGAAAAAAAAGTTTAAAAATTTATATGGAACCACAAAACAACCTGAATAGCCAAAGCCATTTTGAGCCTAAAGAACAACACAAGAGGCATTATGCTTCCTGATTTCAAAACACATACATTGGTAGCATTGTGAACAAGTATAACCACTATGAAAATCAGTTTGAAGATTCATCAAAAGACTACACATAGAAATACCTTTTGGCTTCGCTGCCTGCTGTGCAAACACAAGGACCTGAGTTCGATCCCCGGTACCAGAATAAAGAAAGAAAGAAAGAAATATCTTTTGGCCAAGCTATACCACTCTTGGCAAATTCCTAAAAGACTTAAGGACTGCATACTAAAGTTATACATGCATATTCATATTTACAGCAATGCAATATACTGTAGCTAAACTGTGGAAACATCCTAAATGTCTATAAACAGATAAATGTATAAAGAAAATGTGGTATATATACACAATGGAATTCTACTCAGCCATAAAGAAGAATAAAATCAGGTAATTTGGTGGAAAATGAATGGAACTAGAAACCATCATCTTCAGTGAAATTAACCAGAAAGTTAAATATAGCATGATTTCTCTATGAAAAATGGGAAAATACATAAATTAATAATTAAGACAAGGGAGTAAACCAGAAAGTAAACTTCTGGGGATACAAAAAGGGACAAGCATGAGGGGGGAGGGAAAACTGAGGGAAGGGGATTGACATTGATTAAGATATGTTAAATGCACGTATCAGCTTTCTAAAATAAACCCCATTATCCCATAATATTAGCAGGCACTAATTTTTAATTTTTTTTTTTCCTCTTAAATTCTTTTACTGGTACATTTTAGGTATACTATACATTTACATTCATCATTGGGAACTTGTACCTTTACATGATGTATTTTGGTTCTTATTCTTTCCTCATTCCCCTGCCCTCCATTCAACCCCTCCACCCATCCCTATTTACAAAGGCTTTGTTTCCATTTTTTTTCTCCTATTTTTTCCTTTCCCTTCATACCTTTTCCCTACCCCTCCCACTTCTCCTACCTCTTTGGACCTTTTCTTCCTATTTCATATTGTCAATTATTCATTATAATCCTTATTTACACTTTCAGTTTCTCATACCAGAGAAACTATTCAGTATTTACACGTGTGTCCTGTTTATTTCACTTAAGAGTATGTCCTCAATGTGCATCCATTTAGCTATAAGTTTCTCTAATTTCTCATTCTTTATAGCTGAGTAGTACTCCATTTTATTAAAAAACCACGTTTTCTTTATCCAGTCTCCAGTTAATGGGCACTTGAGCTGTTTCCAGGCTTTAGCTATTACAAACTGTGCCGCTACAAATATGGGTGTGCACATATCGCTGTGGTATGATTTTTTGCAATTCTTCTGGAAAGATACCCAGTAGAGGAATAGCTGGGTCAAATGGGACCTCTAATCCTAGTTTTTTGAGGTATCTCCATATTGATTACCACAGTAGTTGCACCAGTCTGCACTCCTACCAACAATGGAGAAAGGTTCCTTTCTCCCCACAACCCCACCAACATTTGTTATTGGTTGATTTCTTTTTTGTTTGGTTTTGGTACTGGGGATTGAACTCAGGACCTTGTGCTTGTGAGGCAGGTGGCAGAACCACTGAGCTAAATCCCTGGCCCTGTTTGATTTCTTGATAGCTTCAAGCACTAACTTTTTGAAAACATGCTACAAAGCTGTAGTAATCAAAACAGTGTGGTCATGGCATAAAAACAGACACAGAGGGCAATGGAACAAAGTAATGAAGAAATAAAATCATGCACC